GTGTACGCGGCATATATGTCTGCTGCACGTGTTAACGTTGGTTAAACACTTGTCGTATTTTTCCCGTTATTAAAAAATGACGTGCGTGTGTGCGGGTACGCTAAGTATGATAAATGACTAGGGGCTTTGTAAGTGATTTGCGCGGTACATATGCACAAGAGGCTAACGATGCAATTTCGTAATAAAAGATGATCCAATCAGACTATAAATGACATTTTTCCGATTAAGTATCTGGAGAATATTAATATCAATATTGGGATCAGGTTTTGGTTTTATATTTTACTGTTACTTTGTTAGATTATTAGTATGCAATTTTAATTATTGCTTTGATGTAGGAATCTTTTAGTTTTTGGTTTAAGTAATTTCTTGGTGGATGAAGTGAAAATAGGTGATATAATATGATGTGTAATTTTATTAATATGTCATAGTGTTTTTTAGTAGACCTAACAGGTATATGTACATGTGGAAACATATGTATATTTACATATGAATCCATATGAATATTTATGTACAACGTAATTTTTCAGCAAATAAATTCATAAGCAAATATCACTAATATATAAATATTATAAACATGTTTCACTTTATTATTTTTTCCAACAATTAATAATTTATATTTCATGACAAAATTTAAGTGTCAAAATTAATCCAAATATTTATATCTTGATATACATTATTGTTATGTTAAGAAAATTTAATTTTTTTAAAAAATGTCCTAACTCAAAAATTGCAGAAACAAAGAAGCTTATTTTCATTTACTAAAATAGACAAATTCTTACAATTCAATTTACCTACGACCCTAATTCACAAAAAAAAAAATATTTATTATATTATCCATTGCTTCAAACTAAATTAGGAAGTAATAAAAAATATCCTAATCAATAGAAAAGTAATAGAAAATATTCCCGAAAAATATTAACTCTGCAGCGGAAGAAACTAAAAATCAAGCGAAAATATCGACCGTATAAATCACCTGGGTGAATACCCTTTTAGCCACGTTTATTTTCAAGCATACGTAACTTCTGTTCCTCTTCTCCCATGGTTAGAAATTGCAATAACACGGATTCTGCTTTCGGTCTTACGTTACAACGATCCGATTTGATGTCAATATTTGATGGAGGGAATTACATTTGTTCAATCGACGGATCTTAAGGCCGAGTTTGCCGACGTTTATCATCCATGACGATATTGTGTGACAACCTGCACGTGTTTCAGCTCCTCCATGTTTGCTCTTGCAATTAGCCCGCAAAATTTACACGAGCTTGTTGCCGAATCGTGTAACAGTTAATTTGCACACGCAAAAGACGTGTTGCTACAGGTAGGACGCTTGACCGATCAGGTTCATTATATATGTGTGTATGTTGCAGATTTGTTAATTTAGGTTGGAGAGATTATTGATGTTTTTGTTCTTAGGGATTTTTGTATTTTGTGGAAATTGTGGAAGTTATTGTTAATCGTGAGAAAGTATGTTGGAAGATTGTATTAGGTGGATTTGAGTTAGTGTTAGGTAAGATTCAAGTTAATTTTTAATTAATTTTAGGTTAGTTTCAAGTTAATTTTAAATTAATTTTAGGTTAGTTTCAAGATACTGTCCAATTAATTTTAGGTTAGTTTCGAGTTAGTTTCGAATTAATTTTAGGTTAGTTTCAAGTTAGTTTCGAATTCATTTTAGGTTAGTTTCATATTAGTTTCGAATTAATTTTAGGTTAGTTTCAAGATACTTTTCAATTAATTTTAGGTTAGTTTCCAGTTAGTTTCGAATTAATTTTAGGTTAGTTTCAAGATACATTCCAATTAATTTTAGGTTAGTTTCCAGTTAGTTTCGACTCAATTTTAGGTTAGCTTTGTATTAGTTTTTGATTATTACCAGGTTAATTTTGATATAGCTTTGGATTTGTTCTCAATTTATTTTTGATTAGTTTTAGTTTAATTTTAGGTAAGTTTCAAGTTAATTTTGAACTAGTTTTAGCTTAATTTTTAATTATTTTAAGGTTACTTTTAAATTAGTTTTGAACTTTAAAAATCTCAAAAACTTCTCAATTTTTAACAACCTCAGAAATTTCTCAATTTTCTACAACCTCAGAAAATTCTCCATTTTTAACAAGCTTAAAAATATCACAATTTTCAACAACCTCAGAAATTTCTCAATTTTCAACAACCTCAAAAATTTTTCAATTTTCAACAACCTCAGAGAATTATCCATTTTCAACAATCTTAAAAATATCACAATTTTCAACAATCTCAGAAATTTCTTAATTTCCACCAACCTCAAAAATTTCTCAATTTTCAATAACCTTAAAAATCTTCAATTTTCAATCTTTCAAATAATCAGACATTAAAAATGTAACAAATTAAAAAATTTCAACCTTTATTTTTCTACCCCTGAAGTTTTATCTCAATCACAAATAATATACAAATATTTATTTCAAACATATATCTTTTATTTCATCAACATTTTCTCTTCATCATAAAATTATTCATAAAGCATCAAACATTCAAAAACTAATAAAAACTCAGGAAAGAAAATAGCTTCTAAAATAAATTTCATTAAAAATTAATGTTACTTATCAGTAATATGCATCCTCTATCCAGCAGCAAAGTTGTTTATCATATTCATCCATGATTAATTTACAGAGTTTATGAAAAGCGTGTAACTTTAATCTCGAAATATCTCGCGAAAGTTGCAGGTGAAACATTACGAGGGTTGATTAAACAGCCCCTAAAATGTACATATAACTGAACATAAATCTCGTTTCATTAATCTTTCTCACAACGTGGAATCTGCTCAATTGGTGGAAAATGTTTGAAAAGCACAGGTCGCTTCTTAACCCGATTTTTCGTGTGAATTAAGTGTATTTAATTAATTACGAAGGGTGCAGACACCATTTATCAATCTTAGCGCCCCTTTTTCATTCAAGAAAAGCCTTAACTTCTTTCAGCGAGTTTGTTAACGCCTTTACATTTATGTTACACAAGGAACGAAGTCACATTTTATTTCATTTCGCTGTTCTTGGCTTTTTCACACTCCCTTTACGATTGTTTCTTCTTTTTGGGGAGAACAGCTTGTGTTGCGTTGGAAATGTTACACTTTTATCTTGGAGTCCCTTTGCAGTGAGGTTTAGAGATTGTAAGGAATTTTATTTAATGAAATTTGTTAGGTTAGAATTGGTGATTTATTTATAGAGAGGAGTGAGGGTTAGTTCGATAGAAGGCATCGTTGCGATAAATGGCGATATAGGGAGAGGAGGAGAAATTGGATATATCCAATTTTATTTGGATATTTTTTTGGGGAAATTTTTGGGGTTGGAAATTTGTAGATTTGGGGGTTTGAGAATTTGGGAATTTAGGGATTTGGGAAGCTTGATGATTTGGAAATTTTGGAATTTGGAAGATTTGGAATTTGGAAAATTTAGAATTTGGAAGTTTTGGAATTTGGAAGTTTTGGAATTTGGAAGATTTGGAATTTGGAAGATTTGGAATTTGGAAGTTTTGGAATTTGGAAGTTTTGGAATTTGGAAATTTTG